ACATTGGGGTACATGTGCTCCTATGCCTCAGCATTTCTGTATCCCTTGGGTAAATTCCTAGCAGTGCTATTGCTGGGTCCTAGGGGAGTTCTATTGTTAGTTTCCTGAGGAACCTCCACACTGTTTTCCAGAGGGGCTGTACCAGTTTACATTCCCACCAAGAGTGTAGGAGGGTGCCCGTTTCTCCTCATCCTCGCCAGCATCTCGAGTTCTCTGATTTGCTCATTTTAGCCACTCTGACTGGCGTGAGGTGGTATCTCAATGTGGTTTTGATTTGTATTTCCCTGATGAGGAGGGATGCTGAGCATCGTTTCATGTGTCTGTTGGCCATCTGGATGTCCTCTTTGGAGAAGTGTCTGTTCATATCTTCTGCCCATTTCTTCACTGGGTTGTTTGTTTTTCGGGCATGTAGTTTGGTGAGTTCCTTATAGATTCTGGATATTAACCCGTTATCTGATATGTCATTTGCAACTATCTTTTCCCATTCCGTTGGTTGCCTATTAATTTTCTGGGTTGTTTCCTTGGCTGTGCAGAAGCTTTTAATCTTGATGAGGTCCCAAAAATTTATTTTTGCTCTTGATTCCCTTGCTTTTGGGGATGTGTCAAGTAAGAAGTTGCTGCGGTGGAGGTCAAGGAGGTTGTTTCCTGCTTTCTCCTCTAGGGTGTTGATAGTTTCCTGTCTCACGTTCAGGTCCTTTATCCATTTTGAGTTTATTTTTGTGTATGGTGTGAGAAAATGATCTAGTTTCATTCTTCTGCATGTTGCTGTCCAGTTCTCCCAACACCATCTGTTAAAAAGGCTGTCTTTTTTCCATTGGATATTCTTTCCTGCTTTGTCAAAGATCAGTTGGCTGTATACTTTTGGGTCCACTTCTGAGTTCTCAATTCTGTTCCCTTGGCCTATGTGTCTGTTTTTGTGCCAATACCATACTGTCTTGATGATGACAGCTTTGTAGTAGAGGCTAAAGTCTGGGATGGTGATAGCTCCCGTTTTGGTTTTATTTTTCAGGATTACTTTGGCTATTCGGGGTCTTTTGTGGTTCCATACAAATTTTTGGATAGTTTGTTCTAGTTTTGAGAAGCATGATGGTACAATTTTGATTGGAATTGCATTGAATGTGTAGAGTGCTTTAGGTAGTAATGACATCTTAACTATATTTATTCTTCCCATCCATGAGCATGGAATGTTTCTCCATTTCTTTGTGTCTTCTTCAATTTCCTTCATAAGTTTTCTATAGTTTTCATCATACAGATCTCTTGTAACTTGGAGTGTATTATTAATTAATCCTTACAATTGCTCTGTGAGCTTGACACTATTAATTATCTTTATTTTATGGATGAAGGAATCATATTTATTTTTGGCATGAGGGAACCATTGTGTACTTCCTAAAGATCAAATAGCTAGCAAGTGTCAAAACTAGGACTCAGACCCAAGGTTTCTGATCCCATCACCTTAACCACAGTGTTTTTTAGCATACAGCCTAAGGGAAGGCTCTGGAAAGCACTGGAGGTGAGAAGGGACATCCATAGCTCTCTGATGCCAAGGGAAAAGCTTAAAAGAACTATTATTCTAATCCTGCACGAGTCCTTTCCATACTTCTGATAGCTCCCTACTCTTTATCATTTATTCTGAAATAACTGGGTAGGAGACGCAGTAAAAGCTAAATTAATTAGAGCTAATACAAATGTGTCTCATTAATTTTATGACTGGTCAAATAAATGTAGCATTTTAGGTGGAATTGGTCTCCCCTCTCCTGTAATTTATGCATTGTCAAGTTTAGGGTTATCTGACATCTTTATTTCTTGATCTTCTTGGATGTATACCTGATGAAGTAAGATGACGCTTCTTATTTGACTAAGACAACCAAACTCTAGTTTTCCTGCCAAAGGAATTATGACCTTTCCTTATAAAGAGCCTTATTTTATAACAATAAGGGAATAATTTTATTTTGAAATGTGTGAATCATTTTTAAAGTGATTCAGAGATTCTGAATTCAATTTTTATTCTCTTTCCAATCTTGGCCTGATATTTGCCAATTATACTTGAGTCTAAATTAATATGTTTTTAAAACCTAATTGAGGTAGTGATTTTTTTATTAGCTGTGGAATAAAAAATGTATACCAAAGAGAATTTTTGCTAGATCTTTTAGAATGGTTCTACCTCCCTTGTCTTCTCAAGTTTATAAGTAGCAGGAAGAAAAGAAAGAATTAGCTAATGTAGAGTATGATGAATTATGTGAAGACGATGAAGTTTATAGAATATGTTACAAAACTGTTGCCGTTATACTATCACTTACAATTTTTATATTTTTCCTAATTGGTTTCTTACAGATGTTGATGCTATTTTCTTTGTTTTTTTAAAAATTTTTTAAAATGTTTTATTTCTTTTTGAGAGAGAGAGACAGCATGAGCAGGGGAGGGTCAGAGAAAGAGGGGAGACACAGAATCTAAAGACAGCCTCCAGGCTCTGAGCTGTCAGCACAGAGCCGGAAGTGGGACTCGAACCCATGAACTGTGTGATTATGACCTGAGCCGAAGTCAGATGCTCAACCAACTGAGCTACCCAGGTGTCCTGATGCTATTTTCTCTAATTCATTTGCTTGGGGGCACCTGGGTGGCTCAGTTGGTTAAGTATCTGACTTTGGCTCAGGTCATGATCTCGTGGTTCATGGGTTCAAGCCCCGTGTTGGTCTCTGTGCTGACAGCTAGCTCAGAGCCTGGAGCCTGCTTTGGATTCTGTGTCTCCCTCTCTCTCTGACCATCTCCTGCTCATGCTCTCTCTCTCTCAGAAATAAGTAAAACATTTTAAAAAAATCTAATTCATTTGCTTGTATTATTGTATGTAAAGATATATATTTTTGTATCCTTATAAAATGTATACTGTATTGCATGTATACATACATGTGTGCATATGTATGTTATATATGTGTGTAATGTATAAAATTTTAATGTATTTCTATTTTACATATATTTGTACACATATTTATATGTTTTTATTAAAATCACTTTTAATGAACGAGGAATGATCAAAGAAATCTTGAGAGAGCCAATCCAATTTCAACACATTCTTTCAGGAACTTAAAACCATCCTAGAAAATACTGTTTTTCTCTTGAAAATATCCAGAGATATTAATATGATCATACACTTTTGCCTTACTTGCCCTAAACAAACAAAATGGTTAGGTAAAGTCTCATTGGCTTAAAATTCCATTTAGTAAGGTGTTTTAAAAGCATATTATACATTTTAAAAAATTACTGTGTTTCACTGGAATCAAGAAGGAACAATATAAGTAGCAGCATAGATAGAAAGGCTTCTCTCCCATCCCCCAACTCACTCTTCCTTTCCATGAGCATCAAGGTTGTCACTGGTGCAATTGCTTCTCAGAATTTTTTTTTGTAAATGATGAGAGAGGTAATTACAAGCAGTTCTCCTCTGCATGACACTGCCTGGAAGACCAGCAAATTGCATCTCTTGATGGATGCCAGCTATTATATACACTGGGTTGGAAATCTCCATATAGGGAAAGGAAAACGAAGGGAGGGAAGACTGAACAAAAACACCAACACGCAGAGAGAAGTTTTGATGGAAAGAGAGAGGTGGTTAATTGCTGGCAGACTCAGATTTGGCAAACTGCATACTATGAAATCTCTGCGAATATGTAGATACTTTCACACATTCACACACATCATAATAGCTTTTGAGACAACAAATAAAATTCACATATCTGAAACCTAACACGTTCAGACCATATGTGTTTTTTAATGCAGTGTAGAATCTGAAAATTTTAACTTTGTGTGGCAGAGAAGAAACTTAGGTTATTCATGCTGCAGGTGTAAATATATACACGTGTTATGCAGAGACTTTGCAAAATCTGAAATACAGTATTTGAATATAATGAGATGTTCTGAGAAATGAACGCTAATATTATAAATGCTTGCAAGTACACAGGAAACTCCTGATGATGCTGTTTGTTAGCAACTATAGTTCCGCACACGGCTTTGGGTCCTTGTTTGAGGAGAGGTGATGAGCAAGAGGAGGATTCTGAAAACAAAAAGCACTGCCAGAAGGCTGCTGATGCCTTAGGGGATCATCTTGGGGACTGTTTTATGCTGGGGTGTCAGTCTACAACGTCCTTTTCAAGATTCTTTCTGTGATACTGTTAGGGAAAATATGCTAGATTTATGAAATGTATGCAAGAGAATGTTTACTGCTTCAGCGCATTCTCATGACTGGTGTCCTGATGTGGGTTAATAGGCAATATAAAAGTCTATTAGGAAGATGAAATTGCACCTGCAAAAGGTAAACATTAGTTTTTATTGCCATCCAAAATTTTATTTTCGATAATGCAGCCATTATTCTTAGCCAAGTGCTTAGCACATAATAAGTCAATAGTCTTTATTTATTAATTCAAGGAGTAAAACAGGTTGCTGACATAAAATTGCTAAGCTGGAAAAGAAAGGTAAATTAGTTCCCAATGTAGAATCACCATTTATAGGAAATATTTTCTTGAAGATCTACTTTCCTCGGGGCTCCTGGGTGGCTCAGTAGGTTAAGGGTCCGACTGGTTCAGCTCATGATCTCACAGTTTGTGGGTTTGACCCCCGCATCTGGGTCTGTGCTGACAGCTCAGAGCCTGGACCTGCTTCGGATTCTGTGTCTCCCTCTCTCTTCCCCTCCCCTGCTTGCACTTTGTTTCTCTCTCACTCTTAAAAATAAATAAACGTTTTTAAAAATTTTTTTTAATTAAAAAAAAAAAGATCTACATTCCTTGTTAGAGGTTTTTAATTCTGGTCTAGTTTTAGGATTGTATTATTTTAAGGTAGAAAATGGTTGATAATTCCTGTGTGAGTGAAAGAATATAAAATTATTTCAGGCAGGAGTCCCTAGCAAGGTGTTCTGGATTTCATTTTCATCAGAGAACTTCTAGAAAGGTTATTGTTGTTCTGCATATATCTTGAGATCTGCTACCGTTGAGCTGCTCTGTTCTTTTTCTCCTCAGGTGTGGAATCCATAGCATGTTCCCCTTACATTTAGCTGCTCTAAATGCTCACTCCGACTGCTGCAGAAAGCTGCTATCATCGGGTAAGTAACTCCATTGCCACAGATGAGGCTTAATGTGTCCTGTAAATGAGCCAGATGGCTCTAGGTGTCTGGTCAGAGTAAGTGGCTGCCTGTGCTTCATAGTATTCCTGACCTGGTCTGGGGACAGCTTCCAGCAGTACTTGGTATTGTTACTGTTTGACCGTCCATATTCCTGCCCCAGAGTGAGAGCCTTGTCTGCTTTTCAAGGTCAAGCTTGGGTGATTCAAAGGGAGAGGCAGGAAGGGATGGCCTTAGCTTACCGGAAGTTTGTCATAATCAGAGAAAACATCTTAGAGGCTGAAAATGGTGGATTTAACAGTTAATCTTTTCAACAAAGGAAAAAGGCCAAATCCCCTGCAGTTTGACAGTAGAAATGTCATGTTACCTCCCCATTCTGTGGCCTCTGAAAAATTGCTGCAGTCTGATCCCCTCCAACTAGGTTTAATTTTTATTTTTTTAAATATGGGCCTATTTGGAACCAAGAAATTCTTTCTGGTTTGGAGCTTTGCTAATCTTTCTTATCACTGCTTCTGCCAACCTCCATGTATTAAGAAGTTCCTGGCTTTCAAAGGTGATAGAGGTCTGCAAGGCAAAGATTGTTTATGAATTAATTCAACAGACATCCCAGAGGGATTTTTTTCTTCCTTTTAAGTGCTTTACCTATGATTGATTCTGCTTTCACTGCTTTTGGCATGTTTAAAAATAATCCCTGCATGAAAGCATGTTTCCCAGATCTGAAACCAACTGAAAGCTAATAATACACGTGAGAAAATATCTACTCCAGCATGTTAAGATTACTCCTTTGCTGTCCATGTTTTCTCCATGTGTTCTGTCTGCCTGTCTAGTGCCTTACTTGTCTCAAATTGGTTTCATAAATTTCTACCCTGGGATTGAAATATGGGGCTGTGGTTCACCCAGGGCTGAATGTGAAAATAAATTCTTCTAGACTTCACGGTTCTTCCTATAAAATTGCCAAGCTTGAGCAGTTACCATTCGTTTCCATGACAACCTCTTTCTGACTACAATTGCTTGCATTCTGGTTTTTCTACTAACTGATTTTTCTGTCTCTGCAATGTTTCTTGTGGTTTAACTAGGACAAAAGTATAGCATAGTATCCTTGTTTAGTAATGAGCACGTGCTGTCTGCAGGCTTTGAAATAGACACCCCAGATAAATTTGGAAGAACGTGCCTTCATGCTGCTGCTGCAGGAGGGTGAGTAGTTAGCAATTTCACTTGTTATTTCATGACTTAACTCCTCTCATATATCTTCATTGACTCAACTTATCTGTGAATCAAAGTCAAATCCTGTAGTAAGATGGGTAAGAATCATTTCTACCAATACCCAATATCACTATCACTTTTGCATTTCCAAATTAATTGTACATTTGTTCTTCCAAAGAAAAAGTGTTAATCCATCTCATATAGAAAATCATTTTTCTTTTCTCTTCCCTTCATTTTCCTTATTTTTTTTAAAATTATAGGTCTTGAAGCCTATATGATATGTATCTAGTTGATATTCTACCAAAAGAAAATAATTTGAGATTTGTTCTTAAGGTTTTCTTTTCTTTTCTTTTCTTTTTTTGTTATTGTTGTTGTTGTTGTTGCTGGTAGGTGGATGATGAGCCAGGAATCCAAGATTGAATTAGTTTGTGTTTATTTACAGATATTTTTGTCCTTATTTCAAAACTGCTTTTTAAGTACTTAAACAATTAAATGTGAACAAAGGTCAAGAAAACTAAAGGGATAGGCAAGAAATGATTTAATCCTTGCCTTTTTTTAAGTTATATTTTAAAAAAGCATTTTTCATCAGGTACTCTTTTTCATATCAGTGGTGAGATTCAGGCTCTGATCAATAATGTTGTCGATACATGACCATACATTGACCAAACATGGCCTCTCTCAGATGACCTTGTTTGGGTAAGGTGTTAGTTCTTAATCAGTTTTCTAGTCCTTAAGGAATAGCAATGCTTCTACATTTGCCATCTGTACATTATCAAAGGCATTACCTCTTTATCAGAGGTGGGCTGACTATGAAGTTTCAGGGCCTTTATTTGCATGGGGTCCTTCCAAAATATTGTATTTAGTTTTGTATTCGTAATCACTTATTATTTTTAAAATGAATTTCCTTCTCCCCTATCCCGCTCCCCAAATCATATGAGCTTCATGAGCCACACAACTAGAGCTGCCTCGGCCTTTGATCCTTTGGCTCCATTCAGTAAGAGATAGGTGCTTTATATCAACTGGCATGCTACATCGACACATCATGGTCTCAGAAAGTTCTTATTTCTTATGACTGAAACAGTTCTCGAGAGAGTTGACGACAAAGGGTGGATGGGGAGTTGAGGGGACCCTGCTCAGGTTCATCATTAATGAGATCATTTTTCTTATTTAAATGATAATAAAACAATAAATCTGAGACCACTCAGCATTCCAAGTTTAAAACCATAATGAATGATTGTCTCTTTTTATGCTGACATTTGAAAAAAATATCAGACCTACATGGAGAGTGACAACATACCATCCTGGATTCGTATCTGAAACTCCTAATAGAATTGTTATTTAGCTACATGCCCTTCAATAGGAAAATTCACTTCAGGGGGTTCTTTTTTCTTTACTCAACATGATTTATTGCTTCTGAAATGACAAAGAAGGTTTGGAAGATCCCTGTGCTCCATTACATCACTTTGGCCTTTTATTTTTTACACATTTTATTTTCCTATATTACAAAGACAGGGAAATGCAGCTGTTTTATTTTCCATTATGGAAAGTCTGGGTTGAAAATGATTATCACAGTGAATTCATTCTCCTGTGATAAAAGGTAATGCTTCTCCCTCCTGGCTCATTGTTTAAAGGTGCTGTGAAATCATCATAGGTTTAAGGGGTTGTTTCCCAAACCCTTGATGGTTTTGAAAGAGAATTTTAGGATAAACGATGAAACCATCATTAAAAGGTTTAACCATGTAACAATAACCACATAATAATCATCAAATACTTTGGTCGTGGAATTGAAAATGTGCCGTCAGGCTCAATGCATTGATTTATTGGCTTGGAAAAAGGCATTCCAGGAACTTTAGATCCTTGCAATATATATTCCTCAATATATTCAGGTTGTTTTGGGGTTAGCAGAATTTAAAACTGGAGCTATCATTTCATCTTGGCCTGTGCTTTGCCAGAAACAGCTTTCTGAAGATAGCCCAGCCATTGACCTCTACCATCTTAATGATGTTTTCCCTGTCTTTCTAGTAATGTGGAATGTATAAAACTCTTGCAGAGCAGCGGAGCAGATTTCCATAAAAAGGACAAGTGTGGGAGGTATGTAAACAGGGAACTCTGTCTGCTTCAAGTGCCTAAGTAAAAGGAGTGGGGAGCAGTCCATCTGGAAATCATGTTCTATTGAAATGGTAAACAGGGAAGCTTGTTGGGGAGAGTCTATCCTCAGAAGGAAATCCCTTTGTGTAGTGCAACACAACAAAGCAGGCACAAACCCCAAGGAAAGCATCTCCTCTCACAGCTCTCACAGCTGTTTAGAAATGTCAGTTGTGTCTTCTTCCAGTTGTTTTTTCCCCCATGCATCTCTCTACCTGTCCTCTCCACGTGCACCCTGGCTCTTGGATGCCTACCGATTTCTTCTCTTACAAACCTACCCAGAATAACTCCTACTCACCCTTCCAGACTTAGGTCAAGTAACACCTCCCTCCCCTTCCCCAGATGCCCTCCTTACTTCACAACTGCAGCACATATCACACAGTTCTAGCCGACCCTCCGTTTCCTGTCTCTCCTCTCACCTGTCCATGGGTCTCCTGAGGAACAGGACTGGGTCTTCTAAAATACAATTTACCTAGTCAACTAATAAAAGAGTCCATACATTGACTGCAAAATTTAAAAGAGTGGTACTTGAAAATTAATCAGTAGTTCTTGAAGTAAAGTTATTTACTTTGATATAAAGTAATTCACTTGATTATTATACCCTAAATGTTGGCTAGGCACATCAGATAAACTATTAAAAAATTGAGGACTAAAAATAGGTAATATAAAATAAATCACTTCATGTTTCTGCAATGCCTTACGCTTTATAAGATGCATATGGTTCCTATATATTACCCACTTGGTTTTTCACAGTTTCTCTATGAAGTATATGGGGATGCTTATTATCCTTTTTTAATAGATGAAGAAAAATGACTTGGAGAAACTAAATGAGTTATACATGTAATAAGTTAACATGTGCATGTAAAATTCTAGAAATTTTAGACCTAGAATAGATGTTAGGGGGCTTTTTGAAGGAAGGATGAGGAAGCCGAGGCCCAGAGAGGGGATGTGATTTGATAAAGCTCATGGGCATCGCTCTTCCCATTAACCTACATCCCTACCCCCAAGGGGCTTATAGTAATGGGTGCATCCAGGGGAGAGAGAGAGACACTTTATAAAGGTAGTTTGGGCCCAGCGTGGACAGGTCTTCCATTCCAGACTAAGGAATCAAGGCTTTGTTCAGTGGAGAGGACTGATTGCCTGACAATAGGATGTTGTATGTGGATATTGGGCCTTAGAAAATCCAGTTCTTCATTCATACCAATTAGAAATTGATGGAAATTTGATTAGAGCTAAGGAGGCCAATAGGGATGGTATTGCAATAGCCTGAAAGAGCAGTAATGTAGATCTGAACCAGGATAGGCACTAGCAATGGAAAGAAAAGATAGAGCCTTGGGTAGGTGGCCGTGTCTTAAGCCACTGTCTTTGTATCTTCAGCTCCAACGTATAAATTCAAAGAAAGGCGTGTCCGTTGGTGTCCACACTCTGAGAGCTGAAGAGCTTTCCCCACTCCCAGGAATACGGCTGCCAGTGCTAATGCTGATGATGGGGGGTGGGGGTGGGGGTCTGTTTTTCAGACTGAATGAAGTAGGAAATTGCTCTTTGTTTTTCAGGACGCCTTTGCACTATGCAGCTGCAAATTGTCATTTCCACTGTATTGAGACATTAGTGACCACAGGGGCCAATGTTAATGAGACGGATGACTGGGGACGGACAGCTTTGCACTACGCTGCTGCGTCAGACATGGATAGAAAGTAAAAACAGCCTTGCTTAAATTTACTTTGGGGCTATGGTTAGGGAGGGGAAGGGTTTGCTAAGTGTTCTTCATGCTGCCTCATGGAAACTGTGAATGAAGAATCCCTCTTATCCAGGACCAGAGGAGTTAGAATTGCCTCATCCCTAACCCCGGTTTTGCCATACTGATCTCTATGTTTGATTATTACGTGTCACTGCCCAATTATCTCTCTTCTCTGGTCTTCGGGTTGAATGCCAAGTGGAGCTGTCAAGCCCAGGTTTTCAGTTCATTCAAGATCGGCTGTGATTTATTTTGTCATATACTGCAGTTGCCATCATCACCGCTTAAATGCTTTATTGGCTCTCAAACTTACATTTGCTGTAAATATGTCACATGTCTAAAATATCCATCCATGCATAATCCCAATAGCCTTCAAATGCAATGTCAGTATGCGTAAAACTGACAGTCTTGTTCCAAACCTGGGCACGAATGCTCTCTCAGGAACTGGAGTAGAGGAAGTTGGATGCCCTGGACATGTTTGGATTCTAGGTGTCCAGGAATGAAAAGGAGAAATAAGTGAACCAGATCAGGTGGAAATGATGTGAGAGGCGCCCATAGCTTATGCAATCATTCTCAAAAACTTGAGGACCAGAGCCTCCCTTATAGGAATGCTTTTTGGTGACACTGGAAAACTATTGCCTTACTTGCTACTCTGTGCTATAGAATTGATTCTAGGTCAGTGCTAAATTCTTTTCTTATACAACAATGGCTTTTAAATGTTTTACACAGTGATCCATGACAGGAAATACATTTTACCTAATGACCCAATATGTGTACTCAAATATGTAGGTTTTAAATATCTATATATATTGATATGTGTATGTAAAAAGGAAGCAGAATTTCATAAAACTATATTTACTTTTACAATGTGTGATGATTCTGATATTTTCTCTTTTGGTTTAAAAAAAACCGTAATTACTACAACCTACTAAATTAATTTTATAATTCCGTTATGGATTATGGTCCATATTTCCAGTTTGGAAAATGCTGTTTATATAATATTGGCAAGTCTGATGTCACTACACTCAGGACCCCGTAGCCCCATAAGTTATTAGTGCAACAAACAATTTATTGAGCACCCACTATGCAGCAGGCTCTATGCTGCTCACTTAGAAAAGAATGGGGGAACAAGTATACCTCAATGTTAAAGGTGAGAAAGGAACCCTACATGATGAAGAATTTCTCTGGCAGTTGAGGGGTGACTAGAACCTCATTCCTGGATAAATGAGATGCCAAACTGACAAGGAGGCAACAGAAATGTGGTTGGAGTCAGGGAGGTCTAACCTAAAGTGCCTCCTATTTACTTGGGGGATTTCGGATATTTTTGGAAGGGTGGATGACTTGATTGTTGTCTTACTCACTGAAACCTGGGTGGAAGTTCTAGGAAAGTCATGTTCTCGATTGGGTTCCTTGGGAGAGAATAGATTTACTGGATGGCCTTTAGGAAAATCACTTATATCCTCAATGAAAACCAGGGCTTATTTCTTTTGGGTTGGGGGAAAAGTCGTTGAGTTAGAAGCTGTACCAAAATCATTAGCAACTTTGCCATTAAAACAAATAATTGTACTTTTTTTTCTTCCCTTATGCTGAGAAGTAAGACTATCTTGGGAAATGCCCATGAAAATTCAGAAGAACTTGAAAGAGCCAGAGAGCTGAAGGAAAAGGAAGCCGCATTGTAAGTTTCTTCTCAGCTTAAAGTACAAGATGTGGTTATTGACGCTTGTCTGCTTTTCTCAGTTGTCACATAGGGGAGCCTTGCTAATCTGGGGTTTGATTCAGGATATGGAGAAAGCAATATGGGCTTGCCTTCAGTGAAGAAGAAATGATTCTTTTAATATATCCTTCAGTTATGCTATTTTTACACAAGGAACTCTTCCTAAAATTGAAACCTTTACCAATAGTGTCCCTGTGATTGGTCAGCAGTTGTTTTTTTTTAATTTTCTTTTTTAGGTTTTATTTATTTCTAGGAGAGAGAGAGAGAGAGAGACAGCATGAGCAGGGGAGGGTCAGAGAGAGAGGGAGTCACGGACTGAAAACAGGCTCCAGGCTCCGAGCTGGCAGCCAGCACAGAGCCCGACGCGGGGCTCGAACCCACAAACCGCGAGATCATGACCTAAGCGAAAGTCGGACGCTTAAACCGACTAAGCTTAAACCACCCAGGCGCCCCTGGTCAGCAGTTTTTAGGAACAGGTGTCTTAAATGCCATTTGTGACTCTGCCATGCATCATATGCCACAGGGGATACTTTAAGCCTCCCCTGGGGCCTTCAGCTCTCCTTCAATGACCTGAGGGTAACTATTTAGCAGATTCTATAAATAAGTGTTTTGAAATTTCAGTGTGCAATACACTGGTTGTGCTCTCCCTTCCCTCCCTCCCCGGCACACAAACATCAGCTCACAAACAGCTTCCCACTTGTTCCCACAACTGCCCCTGCCCCACCTCATCCCACCTGTCTCTCTCTGGCTTCTGACAGAGACTTAGCTAGTACCATGACAAGGGCCGGAGTCCCTGCCATCACCCAGCAGCGTTGCTGCACAGGAAGCTCTAATGCCTCGTCCTCCGAGAGTCCTTCTTATACAACAAAGCACAGTGTGAAGGTTGTGCTCTGCCCAGTGCAGCAGCCAGCATGTCGCTGGTGTTCAGTCACTGTGTGTTAAACAAATGAACAAAGGAATGAGTGCTGCTCACACTTGCTGTCCTGCTTCCTTGAGACCTAGTGGATCCAGTGCTCTAAGAGTCTGCACCCACACAGTTCCTAACCTGTTTAATTCTCTTCTTCACCTGTCAGAGGAACCAATTTCTCTATGACCTAAAGGTTTGTGACCCCTCTCCTTCCAGGTCCAGACCATTGTGGGAGAGAAGTTAGAGAGTGTGGTCCTGATACAAGTTGTGGGACGTAACTTGGGCTGTTACTGGGGTGGGGACAGGAAACAGCCATGAGTAAGGCAGAATGGCCAAGGTTTTGCCCTAATAATCCAAACTTGATGATATTCAGTGACTGTAGAATTTTTTTTTTAATGTTAATGTTTATTTATTCTTGAGAGAAAGAGAGAGAGCAGGGGAAGGGCAGAGAGAGAGAGAGAGAGAGACAGACAGAGGATCCGAAGCAGGCTCTGCACTGACAGTAGTGAGCCCAATGCAGGGCTCGAACCTATGAACTGCGAGATCATGACCTGAGCCAAAGTCAGCCACCCAACCAACTGAGCCACCCAGGTGCCCAAAAGACTATAGAATTTTAAGCCATGTCAGCCAGCGCCCCCTTCTCTGGTGAGATTGTGCCAAAGCAGCCCTGTTATAGCTGATGGAGAAGGAAAAAGCAGTACAGGCAGGGGAAGGCAGGGAACCAGGCTTCCTGAGAGCTCTTCCGAGCAGAAAGGCTACACCTCTCATCCAAATATACCTGACTTAATGTGCATGTCTTGATTTTGCAGCGTAGGTGCCCAGATTGCTAGCCACTACCCTAGGAGGAGAAGAGATAAGCATCCCCAGTTAAAAGTGGAATTTATTTTCCCTTGGAAATGATATGGGGAGTATGCAAATTCTATAGCGCTGTTGTTTTTTCAAAACGCACTGCCGTTAGTATAGTTCAGCTATATCCTGGGGTAAATAACACTTTGGGAGCAACTCCAAGTGTTTTCCAGATTACCTATTAAATCCGCCAACTGGTTTTTTACAGTGAAACTCTTTCAGAAGCTGGGGGTTGTGAGTCCACTAGAACGCTATTCCTATTGAATGATTTTATTTCAAGAGCCAAATTCTGTTTAAAATGAGTCATACCTGGGATTGTGTCCATGAACATTTAATTACCAAAATAAAAAAAAAAGGACTTCCTTTTAAGGTACAAATCACCCAAAACAGCATGATATCAGAACTCCAATAATAGTTTGATTTATTATGGAATATTTCATGGAAAAATCATGTGGCATGTAGATATTTGGTGTAAAAAATTTATGTCTTTTATCAGCTTTTCTAGGAATTAAAATATCTGTGTTAATTGTCTCTATGTGTGACTTATTTAATCCTTTTGCCTTATATCAAAGGATAGGTAGGTGTTTGAGTCACAGGATGATTTATGGAAGTGTTGAATTACTGCATTGTACACCTGAAACTAATATAACACTGTATGGGAACTAACTGGAATTAAAATAAAACTTAAAAACAATAAAAACAGAACCAAAAATAAAGTGTTTGAGGAAATGATAGGCATTTCCCCTTGGAAGGCCTTATTTAATATACATGCTTCCATTGCATATTTTGATGTAAGTATGATGTGAGCATTTGAGAATTTGATTTGAGTATGAAATTGAATCAGCTTGACCTTGTAGAGGACACGTTTGTCCCACTGCTGCGGATGTAAAACTGAAATTATGGAGTGGTGCTTCCTGACTACTTATTCCCTCTTTGACTAGCAGGATTGTACCATTTGTAACAGACCTTGAACAGAATTCCTACATCCCCAAGCACTTGTGTCCTGGGGTTTAGGGCATTTCAGCAAAGTTGAAGCCACACCCCTACCTCCAACCTATTGTAAAGATTGTGGCTTTTTTTTAGAAAAATTACAACTCCGTTCGAAAAGGCTTTCTAAGCTTATTATTTATTAGTTTGTTCTAGTCTATACATACTGATGCAAGTTAGGCCTCTTTCTTCAGATGCGGTTACTGAATTAATCTTTTATATTTTTTAAATGTTTGCCCAGTCCTTTAATCTTTTTATTGTTTGGGCTATTCTTAAGTTCTCTTCCTGTTGTTATTTTCTATTCTTTCTAACTTTCATTTCCTAACTTTTGGATTCATCGTAGAGCCTCCAACAGCAAGGGTAAAAGTAAACCCCTGCCCCTCTTGCTGCAATGGCCTGACCACTTCTCTATTACATTTGAGAGCTCATCTTTTGAACATGGAGCTCGAAAACTCATTATTCAGTAATCCTGACAACTTTAAGGCGAAAAGGAAAGAAAAAGACGTAATTATTCTTTATTATGCTAAATGAAATAAGTCAGACAGAGAAAGACAAATATCATAATTTCACTTCTGTGTGGAATCTAATCAACAAAACAGGTGAACAACCAACCAGACACAGACTCATACGTACAGAGAACAAACTGGTGCTTGCCAGAGGACAGGGGCCAAAGAATGGGCAAAATAGGTGAAGGGGATTAGAGATACAGATTTCCAGTTGTAAAATAAATAAGTCATGGAGATGAAAAGTGCGGCATAGGGAGTCAATAATATTGTAAGAACTTTGGTGACAGATGGCAGCCCCACTCGCTGTGGTGAGCACAGCATAATGTCTAGAACTGCTGAGTCACTATGTTGTACACCTGAAACTAATATAATATTGTATGCCAACTATAAAAACAAAACCAAACAAAACATTCTGGTATCCATGCAGGAAGAGACAAATTGATTCTTGTAACAGAACAGAGTCCAGAAATGATCCCATGTGTGGATACATATTCAGTAGTTGATAATGACATTGAAACAACTCAGTGGGGAGGGGATAGTACTTTCAATAAATTGAGGGGGTGATGGGGCAAGGGGTACTTAACTACCCTCTTGTTCCTAAAGCTTTCCCTGAATTCTGGAATGGCTATTTTAAGCTGAAATAAAGATGGATACAGAAAACACACACACATAAAACGTTCAATACATAAACCTTCATTGCTACAGGATCTTTTTTAAAGTTTATGTATTTATTTTGAGAGAGAGTTGGGGGAACAAAGAGAGGGAGAGACAGAATCGCAAGCAGGCTCTGCGCTGACAGTGCAGGGCTCAGATTCACAAACCGTGAGATCATGACCTGAGTCAAGATCATGACCTGAGCCAAGATCAAGAGTTGGAAGCTTAATCAGTCGACTGAGCCGCCCAGGAGCCCCATTGCTGTAGGAGTTTTAAAGAAACACTTAAATTCACCAAGTGCTTTGTGGAACATTTACAATAGGAGAATATTTAATTATCACTTTTAGTCTAGAGCTGTTTTCTAAAATAACACCTCATTTTTATACTTACAGATGTCTAGAGTTTCTGCTTCAAAATGATGCAAATCCATCTATCCGGGACAAAGAAGGATACAATAGCATACATTATGCTGCAGCCTATGGCCACAGACAGTGTCTGGAATTGGTAAGTTGTTCTGTCTTGTTTTGTTTCCACTAACACACACACACACACACACACACACACACACACACACACCACACACCACACACCACACAGACCCAACCCTGCAGATGCTGGTCTTAATCTCTCACAAATGCCTTCACTGCCTAACTAAGTCCGCACTAGAAATCACCTTGAAGATATTTTGTGGTAAGTGATTAAATTGCTTACAATATGTAGATATCATTGTTTCACTTATATCCATCCTAATCTCACAGCAGACTGACAGCTGCTGCTTTTCCATATTAACTTGGACTAGGAATGTTAGACTCCTGTTTGGACAGTTGGTATTTTAAAGATAATTTGGATGTATCAAATAAGCTGAGTATATATTTCCAGTCACACTTATCACTCTAATATTCAATAATAGTGTTGTAAGATGACTTACATAGCTGCTAGGCATATGGGTTTGTCATGGTCCCACATTTGTATTCTAGGGAGAGAAACTGGTAAGGGAACAATAGCAGAATTTATTCAAATTTCCAAACTACCAAAAATTTCAAACCTGCAGCTATTGAAAAACATCTGGGGATTTGGAGTCAGAAACTCTTCTACTGGTATGGGTCACCAGACACAAACTTAAATGACCACAGGGACAGAAATGGAAAGTAAGCCAGTGAAGTGACCCCAAGTATAGAGCAGCAGGGAGCAGCAGGGACTGTGGCCAGTAGGACACGTTATGTCTAAAGGGAGAAACAGCCAGTCACCTCCAGTGATTGAGATCAGCTGGTAATTCATACTCAGGGGTGAACTCCAGCATTTCAAGAAAAGCTAGAAATGTAGACTTTTTATGTGAAATATCCTATTTCGAAAACATTGGGTGGACCAGGAAGAAAACTACAGGTTTGTGGTTAAATCCTGGCTGCAGGCCACCATTTGTCATCTCCTGAGCATCGCTCTTGAGTCAGCTTCACTAGGATGCCTGGGGCATCCCACACTCACTATCTTTGGTCCATTGGTAAGTGCCACCTTCCTCACTGGACTCCAACTCTTTTCCTTGTTTTTTAAAAGGAATAGTCCTAGGGCGCCTGGGTGGGTCAGTCGGTTAAGCATTGGACTTTAGATCAGGTCATGATCTTGTACTTTATGAGTTCAAGCCCTGTGTTGGGCCCTGTGCTCACCGCTCAGAGCCTGGAGGCTACTTTGGATTCTGTGTCTCCCTCCCTCTCTCCCCCCTACTCTGCTCATGCTCTGTATCTGTGTCCTTCAGAAACAAATAAGCATTTAAAACATTTTTTTAAATAAATAAAAGGACTAGTCCTACTTTCCAGAGTATTGGGAGATGTGCTTGGGAAAACACTTGCACTTTATCAACTGCACAGTCTATTTAGGAGGCATGAAGGGGAAAGCCAGCAAGCAGTTGTACCAGTGCCTCCACAGAAATGGCCAGTGCTGCTCTAGCTCGTTCCTTTACTTTTGACCTTGCTGCCAGACTTAAGTGGTTCCACTTAGGGTCATTCTCACTGTATTTCTCTTAACCATGAATGTGGGAAGATGTTCGTAAGCATTTGGAAATAGAGAGGTGATTATTCTGGTGTTGCTAGGTGTGGCATTTATTGGTGAACTGTACCCACCTTCATCATTCTTCATGGCTTCTAAGTCTCCTTTCCTGAGGTTCCTGTGGATACTAAAGATTTCCTTGTCTGACCTTGGGGGTGTCATTTTTCCCCTCTAGTTTTGATTCCATCAAAGTTCCCCTTCTAGTTACTGTGGCTGCAAATGAATTACCCCCAAATTTAATGACTTAAAACAACAGTAATTATTTAATATCTCTTATTGATCAGGAATTCAGGAGTGGTTGAGCTGAGTAGTTATTGTTAAAGTTATCCTATGAGATTGCAGACAATGTCTGGGGCTGGCATAATCTCAAAAACATCTTCATTCATGTCATTCGCCTGGATTGTAAGATTTAAATAGTTTCTGGGGGGCTTCTTTCTGTGGTTTTCTCTAGCATGGTGGTTTCAGAGTAGCTGGATATCTCACATGGTGGCCCAGGGATCCAAAGGCATCTGCTCCAGAAGAGAGTGGGAAAAAGCCAGTGTGAGAATGAGTGAGAGAAAGACAGTATCAGTCTTACTGATACTAGCCTTGAAGGTCACACAGGGTCACTCCAGAGAGGAGAAGAGGACTCCAGCTTTCAAAAGGAAGAGTGTCAAAGGATTTATAGACATGTTTTAAAACCATCCCGTTTCCTAATAAGATGTAGAAAGCCAGTGATTTCAAAGCCTTCTATAAGATGGACTTTAATGGAGAACCACAAGTGGCCAAGGGGCAGTCCTTTATCTTATAGAAGAGCAAACCAAACCACAGGGCATTAACTGGTTTGTCCCAAAGACATAGCCCTGGTCAGTGGAAGAAGCAGTATCATGAATCAGGATTCCTGATTTAAAAAACAAGAAATATTTTCCATACCATGCTGCCTTCCATTGCAGGGCAAAGCTCCACCACCACCCAAGCCTTTTCAACATAGAGCCAAAGCTTGGAAGGACTTGGTTAAGATATAAGACAGTGTCACTTCTGTCTCCTAACACCAGCATTGCTGTGGAAGTTGATCTAGACCTGTCACCAAATAGGAGTCTCTGTTTAGGTCCCACATAAGAAAGGCTCCTCACAAAATTTGTGCCTGCATGTGTATGTGTGTTTAGTAATCAGTGGCAAGGTGAAGACTTACTATTGTTACAACCATTATAAGCCTCCATTCCAAAATGCACTTAAGACACAGCTGTCTTTAATTGGTTTTCTCTATGAAAAACACATGTCATAATTGGACATACAAACTTTTATTACAAAGTTATGATAGTCTTAATAACTTTGCTGTTTTAAAGTACTTTGAGGAGTTATCTTTAATCTCATAGCATGAGTAACTCTGAGAATGATTGTTCTGTAACATTTTCATTCTATGTAAATAATATATTGCATATTATTTTCATTTTTCAGGAAAGCCATTTCAGGGCCATTGTTTCTGTTATCCAACAAAAAGGTTTTCTGTCCATAAGAAGGTTTTGCAAGTTCTGTCTAATAAGGAAATTACCCCTTGATTATATCAAAGCTTTCCCTGTGTGATTTACAAAGAGATGATTATTCTTGGCAATTTTAAGACATTCAAAAGTGGGTAGGGGAAGTAGTCAGTGATCTTAATTTGTACTGTCAGCTGAAAAAGCCGCACTATCAATATAAATTGGTAGAAAGGTCATCATTGTTTGCTTTCAGGAAAGGACCTCAGTGGGTTATTTATAACACAGATGGGATAAAAATTCTCCTCATAACCCTAAATGATTGTGGTTGGATGGAAAGTTCTGTACATTTCCATTTTGGAATGCATCCTCAAATCCCCCTTGGGTGTGGCTCAGCTAAGCGGAGATCCTCAGCAAGCTATCAGCATTCTTAAACCTGCCCCCTCGCACTCAAAACAAAACACAATCCTGGGCTTTCCCCTGGGACCAGCATCATAGAGCCAGACCACTGCACGCATGTTAGCTGTACTGCTGAATCGCAGCACTGTGAACAGATTTGGGAGTGGCTGAGACCACCACTAATGGCATCTACTACATATTCGTCACATGCCAGGAATGCCGTTTAATTATATTTTCTTTCAGCTTTATTGAGATATAGTTGACGTACACCATATCAGCTTAAGGTGTACAGCATAACGACCTGACTTACAAGTATCATGATATGATTACCACAGTAACTTAGTTAACATCCATTACCTCATATAGACACACACACACCCCCCCAAAAAAAAAAAAAAAGGAAGAAAGAGAAGAAAGAGAAGTGTTTTTTTTCCTTTGTGATGAGAATAAGACTTGTTCTTTTTTAAAAAAAAGTTAATAAAATAAATGTTTTTTTAAATGTTGAAAATAAATAATGTTTATTTATTTTTGAAAGAAAGAGAGAGTGGGGGAGGGTCAGAGAGATGGGGGACAGAGGATCCAAAGCAGGCTCTGCAGTGACAGCAGTAAGCCTGACGCAGGGCTCGAACTCACACACCGTGAGATCATGACATGAGTCGAAGTCAGATGCTCAACCAACTAGGCCACCCAGACACCCAGACTTGTTCTTCATACAAGAAGTAGGGCTCTTGAGGGGCACCTTTTCTAATTTATATTCCCTGTCTCTTTCTCTTGGACCACAATACCCTCAAACTCCTTAAAAGTCCCATTTCTTTGGGTGCTAGATATTAGGAAGGTAAACCAACTAGCCAGGATGCACAAAGCGGTGCATTCCTCAGACTCACCACTGCCATGGGAGTCTGCTCCCTCATCTCACCACACCCCTGTCCTCCAGGGGAGTATTCTTTTCACAGATTGATCCTTGACTCTGTGCCAGGTGGTAGAATTATGCCAGCAAGAGACATGTTCTGGTAGTCCTGAATGACTTACTTGAGCCTCACAGCAAGAACTATGCAGGGAGTCATTCTCAGTCCCTGGCCTGTGTTTCTGGCCTGTGGAAAAAATAGGGCATTGAGTACTTGTAGCCCCCAGACCTCTCCTGTGAGACCAGGGCCTTAGTCCTTTGGGAGCTGGTGTAGCATTGAAGAGGGTGGGTGGCCTTCAGAGCCGGCTGATTAGTAAGGTTGGTAACATTTGTCTTTCACCTCTTCCCACATCCAGTTGAACAATTATTGTGATTACACATATCATTAAATATGTATCATTAATTTTGATGCAGATTTTATTTGACTCTGACATTTAACTTTGTATGGGCTTACGTGGCATTCATGGTTTGTGGTTCCTGTCTGTGATCATAAGCTTAGAATTTATAAACCATATTTTGTGTTCAGTCTATTTTGCTGTGATCAAAAGGGAACGGAAAGTATTTCAATCGTTTTCATTTTACTTCCCTTGTAGAAAGTTATATAGAATTCATTCCTTGAGCAAACAGCTTCTAGAAAGTCATATGAACTCCTTAGCCTTGGTAGAATAGCGAAGGCTCAGGATTCTGCCAAGTTTGCTTACTGAGGC